CAAGACATGGAAGTGGTTCTTGGACCTTCGGTATTCGGTCTCTGGCGCTGGCAAAGAGAACGGGTCGAACTGTCCAGGTCTGCGGCCACGGATCGTCGCGCGTGGAAGAGCACCGTACGGAACATAATTGAGGCCGGCTAGATCAGTCATGATCGCAGCCGTAACATGCACAAGTAAGCTAGCGCGACCGAAGCCGCCCCCTATGCGTGCCATGGCGACTCCGCCGTGTGCGGCATTTCTTATCAGCGCACAACCCGAATAACGCTTTCCATATCCTTATCTTGTCCAATGCATCTACCACGTGGTCCGATTAGGGGGCACACCCCCGCTCCATTAGTTGTTCGAACGCATACTATTTTTCTTTATTATGACCTTGGCCAATTACTTGAGATCATTTCGCCTGACGTTCGTCGAGCTAGCGTGGTTTCAGAACAATTTAGGGAGGTTTTGCCCGTAGGGTCCCCAAGTAGTCACATGTCGATAAACAATCAGTATTCGTTGATAAACGCTCACAGATCGCTAAAGCAGGTCACTCGTCCCGATCGTCCTTGGGCTTCCTCTCGAGCCCAGCCAGTAGCGCACAGTGTAGACAAGTAAACATTGCCGGCACCCCACCTGGGCTTTGCTGTTGCGGCTAATGAGTGAGAAATCGCCATAACAATCCCCCTTGTCTTTGATGGCAATGTTCATCTGCCTAAACAATCGGTAGTTAGACAGCTACTATGGGAAGGGGAGTGGCTATTTGGTGATTGTTTGACACCATCAGCATTCACAGTAGGCGACATAACTGACCGCATGGGTAACGACAAATATCCAATATATTTCAAACCGACCCGAATGCATTGATCAAAGCTCCCAATTAATAGTGACTGACTTTAAGTTAAATGGAAACAGAGCAGTTAGACTCAGTGTTATGGTTCGATAATCTTCCCGAAAATTTGCATAATGTCATCTGTAGTACTACGCGTGGAGAATTCCTGTTCCAGTGCCCTACCGGGGTGCGTGGTTTAGGATTCCTCTTTACGTTGTCTTACTGTCCCTTTCCACCGCAGGTGAGAATGGTTACCGAACCGGCGTTGACACAATTCGCCCTCGATTTGGCTGAATGCGAAAAGTTTGCCCAATCCGAGCCCGTTCCTGGTATTGACAAGTCCATCCTAGTGCTCATCTTTCAGGAGCTGAGCCAGCTGTTGGACCTAATCAAGAAGGAGGACTGGGCTGTCTACTTCGCCAATCACAACAAACCCACTGGTGAGTTGTTGTACACTACGAGTACCCTCACCGTTTATCATCTTGCGCATCTGTCTGTATGTGTATTTTATTTCAACTCCAACCGTCTCTTATTCATCCCTAGTTTTTGTCCTTGCCAAGAGAATCATCTGTATACCACGGAGGCAGGTGGTTTCATAGAATTAGTTACCAAAGACAGTCAATTATTTGAGGACATCAAAGCGAATTTTTAAAGCCTCAAGGCTTGGAACAAGTGTGGGGCCATTTAAAATTAATAGGTGGATTTACATCTAATCAGTCTTCTCAAGAAATCTTATCACTATGAGTCGCTGCTTTGCACCCGAAATGGGCAACGTCCGAATTGTGTGTGCGTTGTCAGTCTTCACAGTAAGGTCCTGTGTGAGTCAGCCGTGAAGGTGATTGGCCACACCGGATTGGGGTAGACAGCTGCTGGTGCCTGTTCACTTGCTAGCAGCCGCGAGAGGTTGAGCGTTGTACACTCACTTGTACGATAGGCGTGGACGGGGAAAGTTAAGCGTCTGATATGTCACCGTTTCTTAACCAGTGTCCAGCAAGTCACGATCTAACCGAGATCTGGGTCGTCCGAATGGTCACAGCCTGGACCCAGTATTTTCACTTGTACTTGATCTAGCCGGCCTCGATTATGTTACGGACGGTACCTCTCCATGCGTGACGATTGGCGA